CCAGAAAAAATCTTTTAGCCGTTTAAATGGCACAGTTGTACTGTAGCACGACAGCCTCCATCTGACTGGTCATGCTACTGACGTCACTAAACCGGGCTAACCATACGTTAAGTTGTCACTCTAACAGTCCCGTTTTTTTCGGTGTGTTTCCTGCTTCCCCTTTTGTGGGGGAAAAGTGAACTGACACCCCTTAATAGAGGTGTCATTTTAAGCCAATTGTTTCACACAGCTTGTGCCCACAAGTATAGAATACGGAGAGAATTTATTTCAAACCATTTAAACAGCACCCTAGGTTACATACAATTATAGTTCTTGTACTTATTAACTTTTATTTGTTATCTATGGCTTTAAGGGTTCCCCGTCTGTTTATTTATGTGGATCAAAAACTAGACTGTCGTCAATATAAACTTCATCTGACTGCCTGCCTGACCTTGAACACCACCAGGGCCGCTCAACGAGCGAGAAACACCCGGTGACGCAAAGCGCCACCATTCGGATGAGGATCACCCAGGAGCAAGTCCCAGAAACCCCGTTCAATCATTAGGTTATATTATGGCCCCCTAACTACACACGGAGTGGGGCTTTAAAATAACAAACAATCACGGATTGACAAGTAAAAAAAAAAACTGCATATAAAGGGGAGCAATCGCAATAAATTTAGACAAGTAGGGAAGTTTGAGTGTTTAATATTGATTATGGTTCCTTAACGTTTCCAATATACGTCAATTGGAATAACGTAAAACCACCTGTGATTCGCTCCTGCGGCGGGTGTTTTCTTTTTCTACGCTCGTTATTAAAAAAGGGTTCTAATAAGAATATCGTACAGAGCAATTAACTATGGGATTGTTGAAATTATATATTTTTTTAGCCGTAAGGCTCAGATCTCGCTGCCTAGCTGTATACCACACCATTCCCATCATCCTTTTAAGGCTGATAGAAAAGGCACTATATTTATATTTTTTTTGCACCGATATTTTTGCTTCAACTCTTCTTAACTTCAGCGTTGTCTGTCATTGTCGGCTATACATTAGTAACACTAATAATCTTCTTCCTCTTCTGCACTTCCTCTTTCACTGCTTCAAGTGTCGAGAGACATTTAAAGGTCCTGCGTCCTGCTCTTCTTGCCAACTCGACCATAGATATATCATGCTGTTTAGGGTTACTTTGATGTTATCTGTCCATCATGTTTTTAAGTGTAGCTGGCTAGTCCAGCCAGTAATGGATTTATTATATCTAAAGAGAATACAATGAGATATAAACGGACGGTAACATCCATGCAGTACATACTTGCGTTGCCTTCTGAATTTACAACACAGAATTCCCACTGAACCAAAGCCAAATGTTTCACCATTAAAAAAAAAAATAATATTAATCAGCAAATCACATAAATAACACAAACACCTACAAAAGCGCACACAAAATGCACACTAAACAATTGGATTATTTAAAAAAAAAATTAATAACAATTAGAAGATAAAAGACATAACACAAACACGTAATAAAGACCTTTCTACCGGCCCAAATCAGTAAAGTTATTTAATAATTTTGCAAATAGATTATTAAATCGAGAAATACAATAGCAATATATCGAAATATTATATGAAAAATCAGTTAAGAAAGATGCAAACTAAAATGAACTGAAACGAAATTTACAGCTTCTAGTTTCTAAGGTCTCATATTGTGTCATGTACCCCTCAGGGCTGCTACCTGAACATGCTGATAGGCTGAGATCTGAAGAGGCCTATATAGATGACATACCAACAGTATCTGAAAGTTTGACAGCATGAGACTAAAGAATCTCAGTGATAATGTCAGACTAACATGACCTGAAAGAATGACACCGTGAGACTAAAAAATCTCAGTGATAATATCTGACATAACCTGAATATCTGACACCGTGAGACTAAAGAATCTCAGTGATAATGTCTGACATAACCTAAATGTTTGACACCGTGAGACTAAAAAATCTCAGTGATAATATCTGACATAACCTGAATGTCTGACACCGTGAGACTAAAAAATATCAGTGATAATATCTGACATAACCTGAATATCTGACACCGTGAGACTAAAGAATCTCAGTGATAATGTCTGACATAACCTGAATGTCTGACACCGTGAGACAAAAGAATCTCAGTGATAATGTCGGACATAACCTGAATGTCTGACACCGTAAGACTAAAGAGTCTCAGTGATAATGTCTGACATAACCTGAATGTCTGACACCGTGAGACTAAAGAATCTCAGTGATAATGTCTGACATAACCTGAATGTCTGACACCGTGAGACTAAAGAATCTCAGTGATAATGTCTGACATAAGCTGAATGTCTGACACCGTGAGATTAAAGAATTTCAGTGATAATGTCTGACATAACCTGAATGTCTGACACCGTGAGACTAAAGAATTTCAGTGATAATGTCTGACATAACCTGAATGTATGACACCGTGAGACCAAAGAGTCTCAGTCATAATGTCTGAGATAACCTGAATGTCTGACACCGTGAGACTAAAGAATTTCAGTGATAATGTCTGACATAACCTGAATGTATGACACCGTGAGACTAAAGAGTCTCAGTCATAATGTCTGACATAACCTGAATGTCTGACACCGTGAGACTAAAGAATTTCAGTGATAATGTCTGACATAACCTGAATGTCTGACACCGTGAGACTAAAGAATCTCAGTGATAATGTCTGACATAACCTGAATGTCTGACACCGTGAGACTAAAGAATTTCAGTGATAATGTCTGACATAACCTGAATGTCTGACACCGTGAGACTAAAGAATCTCAGTGATAATATCTGACTAACAGGGAAGCCCAGACACCCTGCTCAACATCCAAGGAAGTTATGGAATTCTGAACAGCTCTCTCAGCTGGGACTCAGCTGCAGTCATTTGCGTTGTAACCTCGCTTTATATTCTTGACTTAACTACAAGCGAGTGTTACTTGACTGCTTCATTTATAGCTCACCTTGACTGCAAACATTTGCAGGTGGCGTAGAAGGTGTGCCTGATGTGTAAATATCATCACAAAAGTAGAGCACGTGACATAGCTCTGAAGTTTCAATACAGTTAATTTATAACCGTATCTTCTTCTTCTTTGCGTTCACCAGCTGTAAACTCTGGCTGAAAGTTCTGGTTGTTTATCCACTTCTGGACTGCAGTCCTGTTCCAGAACCCGAGTGTTGCGTGTGCATACGTTTTACAGATCTGACTCATTTGTATGCAGACTGCTGGTTCCTTGCTTCTCAGGCAAATGCCTGAGAAAGAAGCTCTCAAGTAGTTGACTCTTACGACAGGCTTTTGGGTAGGCAGTGGGTCTATTCTTGTTTTTAGCTATAACAGGGCCTTGGAACCCACACGGGAAATAACCGTATCAAGTTCAGGGAAGATAATGTACAGAAATTACATTTAGTCAAAAGGCATGAAAACTGACTTCATGGCACTCGTGTTTTCATCATTTGACCTAACCGATCTCCGACAGAGCTGTTGTTTCCCTGGCGAAGGCTGTCACACAAAGCACCAACTCTGTAGCACTAGGGACAACCCCAGGGCTTTTGCAAACACCTGAATACATTTTTACTTATTAAAAAGTAAACATACTTTCATAATAGTTTTGGGGGTTTTAAACGGATGGCTTTCACACACAGCTGGAACATGGGAAGCCGATAAATACTCTAGTTTGTACCAGCTTTGTGGTTTAATCACAGACACTGACAGTCCTAGAATGACATAAGTCCAAAATTATATTTGAGATGGGATGTGTAAGAAATGCTGTCAAAAACTAGGAGACAAAAAAAAAAAAAAAACAATTTCACAGTACCGGTAAAGGATTTCACAGAACATTAAAATTCAAACGGTTTGGTCGTCTTGTCAGAATGGAACAAAATTAGCTAGCAGCTAGAGCTTATTAAAAAGAACAGTACGCTAAGATGCAAGAGGACGACCAAGAAAGAATAGGGTGGAGGGAGTTAAAAAAAAAAAGACACTACAAAAAAATACTATGACATTAATACAAACTCCACAGCTAACAAAAGACCGGAAACAGCAACTAACTCCTCTCTGTGAAGCTTAACGGCATAAGCAGTATAGTATAACAAAAGAAGAAGGGCGGAACAAACTGGCAGTTCTTTTACCTTGTCGTTCCCCCCCCCCCCCCCCAAAAAAAAAAAAAAAAAAAAAAAAAAAAACAATTACAACAAATTCGGAATTTGTCTAGTACCAATTTTAAAAGGCTAAGCTCCCCGTGCGGATTCTGGGGCCCAATTGTAGGGAAAACAAGGAAAGACCCACTGCCTTTCAAACAAGCATGTCGTAAGAGTAGGATAATTGGAAGCTTACTTTGAAGTCGGAGTGCATCTGTCTGTAAGGCAAGGAACAAACAGTCTAGATGCAAGTAACTAACTGGATGCATCCCTCGGTGTCGGAGTACATCTGCTTGGCTGGCGAGGAATCAAAATTCCGCATACAAAAAAGTCAAGATCTGTGAAACAGATGTGCAGCAACACTCAGGATCTAGAAACAGACTTAAGTCCAGAGATGGATGAATACCTATACATTTCCGTCGGAGTCTACAGTCACTGAACGCAGAAAAGAACAGGCTAAGTCGAGGCCAAAACAGAAATAAAAATCCGACCCCCTCTGGGATTGAACCTTTACCGCCATCTTGACAGGTATGCTCACTAACTACTATGCCACAGGATCGTTGATCTGTAACCACATTAAATGAGATTACAGTCTGAGTCTACATTGTTATTTTTCATTTGTAATTAATTTATTGTCTTACTATTTTTTTTTTTACAAAACAATCTAGTATTACAGTAAAGACTCATTAAGACAAACTCACGTAAAAAGAACAGTCGGTTAACATAAACACAATTTTAATCCCTTCAGAAATGTGTTAATTCGAGACCCAGTTAGAGCGAATTTGTTTTAATACGAACCCTTGCATGTTAACGAGATTTTACCGTATTTACTCCAAATCGCACACATACTTCAGAGAACAAATATTGTAGAGCCATGCAGAGATAGAAGATTTGACCCATCGTCAAAATGCAATAATCCAGTGCTGTCCCTTGTTCGACTCAAACGTATATCTCTCGCTGACATTCCAAGGATTGCAGATGCCTAAAGTATGACACGAATTTAAAATATGTACTATGACTGTTTCACAATAATGATATTTATAATATGATAATATTATATGATAATACATTTTGCATGTTTAATGACAGTATTTGTTTGGAAACATTGCCGTTCCTATTTTTATAATTACCGTATGTGGAGCTTTTACAACATATACTGATACAGTGTGTCTTATTTTGGGCATTGTTTTCCATATTACAGATCTATTCACAATCGATTTTGCAGCTTAAATTGCTAACAGTATTAAGATGAGGCATATATATATATATATATATATATATATATATATATATATATATATATATATATATATATCAGTAAATGACATCTTAAGTTGTTGAACAAACACATTCGAATACCTGCCCCCGTTAAGGAACACAAGCTCAACTAACAATTCTCTTTCTTTAACAGCTAACACCATTAAAACTAAAATGAGTTACTAAAACAACGGTGTATAGCAGTGATATTCTTACCTAACGGTTACGTGACGATGGAAACATGACGTAATGCACAAATTTAATTGCTGTGCGCAAACAATGATTAAAAAAAAGCTTCAGTCATTAAACATACACCCCTTATATGACTAAGTCAAATCGATACAAGCTGTTGCAGATTGCAGATTATAGAGAGGCACGATTCCCCCTCTCCATTCGACCTGGCTCTGAATCACGATGAAGAGGTTAAATACATTCGAAAACAAATGACCAAGGAAAGGAATGAACATTCAGTGGGATTAATTCAAGAAAGGGCAAGAGATAAGATACATGATGTCTTGACAACCGCTTGTATCAACATTCAAACGAGAAAGAAGCTGGCAATCTATTGGGCATATCCTGAAGAGAAACGAACAGAGAATCACAAAACAGACACTGCAATGGGAAAAAATGGAATGAGGAAACGTGGAATTTCAAGAGAAACGGTAAGACTAACAATGTTCAGAGAAGCCGCTAGATTCCTTCTATGTTATCGAGAGGACTGAACAAAGGACTGACTGACAGACTTTCTACCCCACCAGGACATCACACAAGCGATAAACACCCGATGACACAATGTGCCACCATGTGGATGAGGATCACCATGGAGAGGTCCCAGAAACTGCGTTCAGCCAGTTGGCCATATTTTGGGCCTGGCTATATTGCGGCCACTGGCAAGAGCCAGGGTAGGGCTTCAAATAACGAAAAATGTCATTCTTAAAAGGACGGTAAATATTAAACGAAGGACTAGAATGCGAGTAGCAGAACAGCATGAGGATGATAATTTATTTCTATGACTATATGAGGCTGATTTTATATATATATATATGTATGTATGTATATATATATATATATATATATATATATATATATATATATATATATATATATATATATATATATATAATATAACATATGTTGGCGAACAATTAAATTCACCATCGTTCTGGACACCGTACCAAACCTGGCTTCAATATGGGACACAATTTACTGTTATTTTAAGGCCCCACACCAGCTGTAGTCGGGGGTCCTAACATAACCTAAAGGTTGAACGGGGTTTCTGGGATATGCGCATGGGTGATTCTCATCAGAATAGTGGAATTTTGTGTCACCGTTTGTTTATCGCTCGTTGTGCGGTCCTGGTGCGGTTTAACTTCACTGGTTTTGGACAATGGATTACTCCTTTAGTGAGAATGAATCCAATGATGTCATCAAAGACAGCGTTCAACATGAAAGTATAAACATCACGAGGTAGGTGACGATAAAGTAGAATTTGGATTGATGGAGTCATACATTGAGACTAGACAACATTACAGCTTACCAGGCAAAAAAGCGTGCCCTAATTCGGATACCAATCTGTCGTGAAGTGATAACTATTCGTGACGTTAACACCCCTAGCGGGCAGGTCACATTTCAAATATAGATCCGTCCGGTGGGTATATAGTCCATCATATCTATTATACCTTTATCTGGCGTAATAGGCATTTCTATATACTCTAGGTGGCTTATGAAGTCTACATTTTCAAACTTACAGTTGTGGGATATATATTTTCTAGATTAATGGTCAGATTCTCAGAAGCCTTTTTGCTCCTCGGTGTATTAATTTGGCAGCTTCTTTTTCGGAAGCGACGCTAAGTCGTCCCATTTGATTCTCTGCCAGACTTGCAGGGTGATAGAAGGGTTCCCCCTTTGTGATAACATTTTGTCTTGAACAAAGTACCAGTTTAATCTTTGGAGGAATCCTGAACTTGGGTAAGTTGATTATAGTTTACGAGTACCATGAAATATGTCTCTATAAAGTTAACCCGCTGCTGCAGGGAGGACAGTTTCAGCTATGAGACAGCACAGAACGAGGCCATTCTTGGTGTCCAAGTACTCACGGCCACTTAAACCAAACCGTTTCCTTCGCAAGCTGATAGTTTGTGCCCTACCTGACTCAATATTAATGTAAATGTTTTAATCTAGCAGGCTAATCATTCTCTAACTAACTAGTAGGGACTCAGATCGAGATGAAGCCGGCAGATTTAAATGGGTCAACGTACAGCCAGCAAGATGCAGTGACTTTAGAGGCTCGACTATGTCAGTCGGTGGAGAATATTTTATATATATATATGAGAGAGAGATAGAGAGGAGAGAGGAGAGAGAGAGAGAGAGAGAGAGAGAGAGAGAGAGAGAGAGAGAGAGAGAGAGAGAGAGAGAGAGAGAGAGACGGTTTGTGTGTCTGCAAGTGCCGATGTGAATGTGGAGAGATGATGTTCTATGTATAATAGAGTCTATCTGTGTCCACTGTGGAACTTGTCTTCTGTCTCTTGAACTGACTGACGGACAGAGATACCTGAAGATTTTAACTGTCTCATTATCCTGAGAGCTGTTCTCTGAGTGATTGCAAAGGGTGGAAGGTAATAAAATGAGCTACGCATGTGACCCCTGGGATGACTGCTAATTTTGAGTTCCTTCTTGTTACAGGATGATATCTCCTTGAAGGCCAGGCGTCAATCAACAGTCCACCAAACCACCATCCACTAAGTACCTACTACCACAACTCCACCATGACAGACAGCAAAAGGGAAGCCAGTGTGTAGAACATCAGAGTACAGGCCACCCATTTGTTGCTTCATCAGAGAACTCTCTCCAGGAGCTTGCTTGGGCTCCACTGGCTAAAAGACAGTTGTTATAGGCCACCCATTTGTCATCAATCAAAGAGAACCTTCTTCAGGAGCTATGTTGGGCTCCTGTGTATGAATCCTGTTCCAGTATATGAACGCTGTTCCAGTATATGAACTCTGTTTGTGTCTGTGTTTACCAAGGCAACCAGCAAAAGGAGCAGTCCAACCGAGTCAGCCTGTTCAGATCATCATAAACCAACGAGTGCAGTGACGCCTACCAAACTTGGAAAAGTGGAACTCTATGGTGTGATGCCTTGTGCTCTATTTACAGGTCCACTCCAAGTTATGATTAAGATAATCGACTGTCTCGAAGGGTCTCTAGCTGATTCAGCTGTATCAATTTTGATCTGATCTCCTGATTCCAGCTGGTCTGAAATACCTTTACTTGAGTCTTAATGATATATATATATATATATATATATATATATATATATATATATATATATATATATATATATATATATGTGTGTGTGTGTGTGTGTGTGTGTGTGTGTGTGTGTGTGTGTGTGTTGCACTTATTAAATGCCTTTGGAAGTTTTCATTATTGACTTGAGGGTCCACCATTCACTGTTCAAACTGTCTAGAGTTTATTTATGTTTAACCATTAATCTTAATCTGTGTTAACATGGCTGTGATGTTACAATATCATAGCCTGGGAGCTATCTTCTTATTGTAGTCGGGATTTCCAGCCAAGTTGCGCCTAGGAATATTATATATTCTGTAGTGCCACAACTTGAGTTGCCCTACTCCTGAAATAGGTTGGGTGTATATTGGCCACGGGATACACCTTAGACCAATACAGGCCGACACCTCAACATTATTCTATTTCAGAGTGCTGTTAGTTCAAGGAGAAATCCTTTAAACAGGCACCCGACACGAGCGGTATTTGACACAATTATCTGTTAACCTGTGGCATCTAGTGGCACAATGCAAAATTCGGACAACAGAAGATCTTTAAATTCACATTGCTGTTTTATGTTGCATGTTTATCTTCTTCTTCTTCGATTATTGGGTCAGAAAACATATATTAGGAGGCCGGTAGCCTTTATGAAAGCTATCATGCAGTCTATATTGCCCCGTGTATCATAAAGTTTTGTCCTCGTTATGGTCGGAACAGGCCAGTGCGTGTCTGTTGGGAGCAAACAGTTGACAGGTTTATGATATTAATGATATCACCATCGTATACCGATTGGTTTGCAACGACGGGCTAGCACTCATTATGTCTCATGGCGAGTACAGAGATCCTTTATTCAGTTAGTCGAGATTCCAAACCCTTTGGGTTGCTTCATAACCGATCTGTTTCTGTGCTAGTGGATATCACACAAAATGTCCTTCGCTGCCCTATTTAAACTCTTGTTAAAAACTTCTCAGTCCGAACCACATTTTGAGGCTTACACACGCAAAGTAAATGCACGAGGCAGCTGTCAGATATGCCAAAATTAACCGTTCCACACCAGAATGGCATTGTTCCTAAAATAACAGGCAGGGGATGACCAGGCAAGCTTCCCGAGATGCCCTGACGAGGGCAACGTCCCGCAAATGACCTGCTACGTGATGATGGCAATGATAATACTATTGCTTGTGCCTTTGTACCGGCATCTCAAGAGCTTAGGCGCTGCGTGATTTCGAGGCTTGGTGCCCGCATCGGGTGCCAGAGGTCCCGAGTTCAAGCCCCAGCGAATGCTGGGATTTTTTTCAGGCGGATTTATAGTAATTTCCCCCTGGTCTCTGTGTAGTAAGACTGGACGCCGGTATGTATTGTTGCACACGAAAATAAAAATCCATTAGCAGTTAGAAATGGAAAAGAGTACCCTAACGGCACTGCCTGGGTAAAATATGGAGTTGAAAAATATACCCAAAGTATTTCATGATCCTCGCCGGTGCAACAGAGTTCGTGCACTGCGCTTAGATTCTTAGGACTAAATACAAAATAGTTGTTTAGTAATTGCCTTAGCTGCCACTAACCCAAGTTCAGAAGTCGACGAATAACTAGAATTTACCCGCTGGAATTTACTGTCAGTAAACGTTAAGGAAGGAATGAAGGAGTTGAAGGATACAGCACAGATACTGGTGAGCAATTTAGGGAGATAACACTTCCAAAGAACAACGCTCTGGTCGGGCGGCTAGCTGTTGTGCGGAGAAAGACCAAGTCATGTTGGATACAACCACGCCCATCTTGAGCTATATAAATCTGGAGCTGGTCGTGGATAAAACCGGGTGCAATGAAGTCGATACTCTCGACTATATAACTTCAGGGTGAGTACAAGTAAATGGCTAGACCTCTATTTTATAGACCAATTAGCACCTGGTTGGCGACATGGTCACGTCACGCCTGGTCGCCTCTACTTACCAGGACTTACACACCTGGTACCCACTCAAAGCTGGGTCGACCTGTGAGCCAGAGTCTTTTTTTTTTTTTTTAAAGAACTCCGGCTCCACCAGGACCCTAATCCACGACCTTCCGATCCGCATAACTTCAGGGTGCTCCGATGTAATTGTATTGTACGGTTGAATGGGTTTCTGTGCTTTTCTTCTCAGAATTCGCATTCGAACAGGCGCTCTTTTCACTAGGTGTCAACCTTTCATGCTGCAATTCTGAAGAGGAAATATATATATCACATGAAACTACCAAAGATAGAGAACCTGCAAGAATATATTTTAAAATGTATCCTTACCTGCGCCAAGACTTCAGACCAAGTTAGAACATCGTCGCAGGGATTCTCAAGCAGCAATGTTCCGGTTCTGTCTCTACTGACAACATTTATGTAACGGCACAGTGGTTGCCTCAAAGTATTTAAAAGACGCTTTGCTACTCCAGGAAGTATGTACGGGGAAACAAAAATGGCTGCCTGGAATAAACAGCGGGTGTCAAGATCTGCGGCGACTTCTTTGGCGAAAGCTGAATCGTAATAGAGACGGATGTTGGTTCCGCGTAGTCCAAAAACACATTGCACCTGTAAGAGAAATGAGGTTAACATCACAACACAGCTGGTGCACCGCCACCAACAGACAGACCCATTATTATTTTTTTTTCAGGAGTGGGGTTCAAGGGGCGATTATCATCATCGACATCATCACCATCATCATTGTCCCTGTTGTGCCATTTTATGTCACATGAGGCTCGCAGTCTATCCTGCATTCCGTTCTGGGAAAGGAGGGGGTGGGAGAGTAAATGACACTTTACCACGCCTTCATGTCACCTGGGATAAACTTATTTGAATAGCCCAGCTCTAGGGTGATGTGGTGCACATCACGCAGGTCTAGGCCATTCTATTTTGTGCAATCTCTTGTTTCGCCATATCATAAGGTCACCAGAATCACGGATCAGTTGACCGCTGTTGTCTCGCCCCATTCATAGAGCCAGGCCATTCAGGTATTTGTTTACCTTTCTCTGGCACGTAGTTATCAAGTTCGCTGGCCGTTTCTTTCTCATAACATGTCCACACAGAGGAAAAATAAATGACTATACACCAAGTCCGAACATATGACGTTCGAAATAAAATCAGATTATGGGACAATTATCTCGGCTTCTGACCAGAAGAAAGATACATCTGTGAATCAAAGCGAATCTCACGAGAACGGTTTTTTGGCCGACATTGTGCTACCAGTGTCAAACATGGACCCTTACTACAACTAATCAGCGGAAGATCGTAACAACAGAGATGAGTTGTCTTAGGAGAGCTGCCGGTGCGACAAGAAGAGATAAAATCAGGCATGAAGAAATCAGAAAACCACTAGGATTGAAACCAGTCATACAATTCATTAAAGAACAACAAGTGAGATAGTTTGGCCACCTGATGAGAATGTTCTGATACCAACTGCCACAGAGAGCCACGCTGGAGAAATATAATTAACAGCGCAAGGGGAAGACCACGCAAGATATGGAGCGACATCATCAGGAGCAACCTAACAGAAATGAACACCAACTTGAACAATGCATTTGAAAAAGCGCACAAACGAAGCTTGCCCCCCTTCCCCCCACCTCCAAACACCTCACTAGGATAATGGTGGAAGAAAAGAAGAAGAAGAAGAAGAAGAAGAAGAAGAAGAAGAAGAAGAAGAAGAAGAAGAAGAAGAAGAAGAAGAAGAAGAAGAAGAAGAAGAAGAAGAAGTCTTTATTCCATTTTAATCTCGTAAAGTGACTCACGACATCCTAGTTCCATAAACCCACATAAGCTATTGCAGCATCCAAATCTCCCTAGCAAAAACTTTACATCGAAACAGAGAGAGCTCCCATAATCTTCAATCCATCTAATTCTTCACATAGCATGTCCTTACGGATTCTATTCTCCTATAATTTTTGGATGTGCAATAGCCATCTGAGCATTTGAAACCTGTACATTGAGAAAAAGAATTCTTGCTTGCTACATACATCCAGTTTTAACATATGGATGTGAATCGTGGACAATCGGTAGGCAGGCCAAACAATTTTTAGAGACCTCAGAGATGTGGTTTTACAGAAAAATGCTTAGAATACCTTGGACAACCAAAAAGAGCAACCAAGAGGTTTTGAAAGAGGCGGGAGCCCGAAGACAACTTATCACAGACATCAGAAGGAGACAGTCATCATTTTTCGGCCATGTTATGAGAAGAGGGAAAATAGAACATGTTGTGACCACTGGAAAGATATGTGGAAGGAGAGATAGAGGAAGACAACGAGAGAAGATGATTGACAGTCTTGTTGCACACGAACTGATACATGCTGCAGGAGATCGCAGATTATGGAGAGGCATGATCGCCCACGCCAGTCGGCAAGGCACCTGATGATTATGATGACATTGAGAAATATGTTTAAGACTTCTTCTCCACTAGTGTGAGTTTATCTGTTAAAATAATAATAATAATAATAAAATGACATTAAAATAACGCAACGCTCACTCACATTGTATATCAAAGCCTCCAAGGAAAGCGGCGTCGCACCAGCTGGATTGTCTATGAGAACGGTCGCCATAACACCCGTTCGTCCTTGCCCTGGTTGCAGGCCACAGAGAACCAGGTTGACAAAGTGTGAAAACGGCTGTGGATTAGGAGCAGCTGGTAAAGCATAAGATAAGGGCCCTCTTGTCTCCGGAGGTGAAAGTGATGATGCCTTCTTTGGTACCTGAGTGAGTGAAGTCTTCCGTGAATGCACTGCTTCAGGTGAGGCCAGCAGTTCAGCATGAAACTGTTTCTGAGAAAGAACAATAGTAATTTATGTTGCGTATTGTAACACAATGTGAGTCGTCGTGGTATAGCGGTTAGACGGTAGTCTGGGATCTGAAGGTAGTCGATTCGGGTCCTGAAGGTTCTGAACGTTTTTTCCAGGTCGACCAATCTTAAATGGGTACCAGGTAAAGTCATAGGAAGTAAAGCCGGTCGGTGTTATTTTCACCACGTCACCCACCTAGTGCTGACTGGTCTTTAAAATTTAGGTCTAGCCCTATATGCCCAATACGCCCGAAGGCATGGAAAAGGGTCCTTCTTTTTCTTATTTTAAAACGACATTCCCGGTGCGGATTTCGTGACCTCATTGTGGTGGAAAAAGAATAGACTCACTGCGCCCACCCCAAAGCATGTCGTAGAAGGCTACTAATTATGGTGTTTCTCTGAAAGTCGGAGTGCATATGCCTCATCGGCGAGGAACCAACATTGTGCATGCAAAAAAGTCACATCTATGTTCACGCGAAACTCAAGTTCTAGAATAAAACCAACGCTGATCTTCAAAGCAACTTACGCAATCTCTTAGCAACTTTTTTTTTAAAAATAATTATTTCGATACCAAGCAATAGTTACTTAACTCCATTTCAAAACGTGGAACGCAGAGTGGCAAGCACCAATTCAGAGGTCTACGGCAGGTAGCATCCTTTTGATATTTTCTCAAAGGCATGCATGTGTGCTGAGAAAATACCAGGCAGACAGACAGGTTGATTCTGCACCAATCGATGGTGAAGTTATGTATTACAAGTTATATGTTCTCAACGTTCCTTGTGAGCCAGTGAACAGTGCTGATGAACAATGAGATCATCAGGGTCTGAAGAGAATGGCGCAACAGGAAGTGAGGAGGGGATCTGGCCGACACTCCAGTATCAGGGGAAATGTAAGGCATATATACATACAATCAGACTCAGCGACAACAATACATAATTTTTGGAAACAGCAAGAAACGTATAATGAGTTGCTTCGTTCTGAAGAAGTTTTAACTGGTTGGATTTTGCAGCTGCAGTTTTCTACGAGATTGGGTAACCAGTACCACACAAACCTTTATGTTACAGGCTGCATGGTGTCAATACATTGCACAATTTATTGCCAGGCATATTTCGTTGTATCGCATCAATAAAAATCAACAACCCCCTCCTCTGTAAGCAGACGGAATTTATTGTAAATTTGAAGTTACCCTGGAAAGTCACGTGACTACGGTGAGCTTCCGGTGGGGATGAAACAGACGCAATGTTTTGGAAGAACCTATTCAGTTGAATTTAATCAGCTTTGTGCTTTATTTTATGTCAATGTAACTCTGTAGTAACGCACCTGATGAGATACAGTGAAATATGCCTGGTAATAAATTGTGCAATCTATTGTTTGTATCCGCATTATTTAAACTTTTTTTTTTGTGTGTGCAAAAGTAACACCTCGCGTATTACGTACTCTACAGGTGTTCAGCTGTTTCCCATTTCAGTGAACGTTTGGTCCAAAAGAAGAAAACTTACCGGCAGCTGTTCTGTGACCTTAGACTGTGATCCTGTTGGAGGCGATGTATAACTGAGATCCCGTTTTCTTGAAGCCTCCAGAAAGTCCGATAATTCATCACTTACAGAAATCAGCTTCATCAACGCTTTGTAGCACACTTCGCTTGACTCAGCATGAGTCATCTTTCTCTGCAACAAACAGGGCACCAAAGATTAACAATGTAGTGCCGATAAACGCTTGCCTATCCACCCAAAGGGCTTAGATTTAAACTAGGGCTGTATCGAATATTGATTTTCACTATTCGGCTGAATACGAATAGCGGGATCAACTATTCGGCCGAATACAAATACGAACAGTGAATCATCATCCTCAGGTGCCTTGCCGATTGGCGTGGGTGATTATGCCTCGCCACTATCTGCGATCTCCTGCAGCATGTATTAGCTCCTACGCTGACACACCTTCATGACATGCAACAAAACTGTCAAGCACCTTCTCTCGTTGTCTTCCTCTATCCCTCCTTCCAGAAATCTTTCCAGTGGTCACCACATGTTCCATTTTCCCTCTTCTCATAACATCTATGAGGCCTAAAGAAATTGTTTGGCCTGCCTAACGACTGTCTAGGACTCTCAGCCATAAATTAAAACTGGATGAATGTAGCAAGCAAGTATTCTTTTTCTAACATTCAATGACAAAGATATATTGCATAAGATGTTCTTCATTTTATAAAATGCAGTTTTTGCCTGTCCTATTCTGTTTCTTATTTCCGTAATGCATCTTCCATCTGATGTTATCCATGTGCCCAGATGCTTACATTTCTGTACTTGTCACAGAATAACACCATTGACTTTCATTACACATTTAGGAATAATTCTTTTCTTTGAAACCCCCATTACTTCTGTCTTCCCACTATTCAGACTGAGGCCCATTCTTCCACTTTCGAATAGTGTATTGTGTAAAAATGTATCTAGAAAACATATCTATAGTGTCAAATGTAGGCTGAAATTTTACTTCACAAAATCTAGTGCAGAACAGTAAACATTTAATTAAAATCATTTTATGTTTTGCATCCTTCAGGCAGTCAGTCTGTGGTAATACCTGGGAATGAAAGTATTCTTAGCATTATAACAAGTAACTAAACTTGTAAATTGTCACTAACAGCTTAGTTAATGCATGAAAGCGACATAGGCAACAGCAACTATCACAATGTATGCACAAACGGGTGTAAGGTAACCACTATTCGTATTCGGCCTTACCACAAGTATTCGGCCGAATACAGAATAGTTATTAGGTCCACTATTCGGCCTCGAAGCGAATACGAAGCGAATATTTGGTACAGCCCTAATTTAAACCCGTATCAATGCAAATTTTTATTTTTGGTATTATATCATCTGCAATCCTTTTCATTTCAGGTCTGGAATCCAGTTCAGCGAGTTTTGTCTCTCTTAACATTGTTCGGGTGGCTGCGAGGTCTCGACGCATGGTGTCTGCCTCAAGTGCTAGAGGTTCCGGGTTCAATCCACGGTTAGGGATAGGAACTCTTTTCATGAGGATTTTGACTTCAAGGAACCCCCCCCCCCCCCTCCACCCACTCCCATTTCCCCACGCGTCACCCATTGTTTCAGGCCGATATTAGATCTTTAGAACTGTCAGTATTTCTTAATAATAATAATAATAATAATAATAATAATAATAATAATAATAATAATAATAATAATAATAATAATAGTTAACTTCTTAACATTCACAGGATATTGCAGAACCAGGCTGTATGCTGACTAAAGGGTAGGTCTTCGATACCTCTGTTAAAACCAACGCAAGGCTAGAATCGAACGGTAGAAAATTAAAACAGCAGGAAAGTTGGAAGGGAGGAGAGGAAGACCCAGAGAAAAGATGCTGGACAGTTTGACACCATGGCATAGAGGTTCATTTGTATGCGATCTGACTGAAGGTACACGAGACAGAAGGTTATAGATAGACATGACTACCAACGCCACACGGCATGGACTTTCAGAAGAACTGTCAGGTTTTGTGTAACGGTTAACCTAGCTCTAACCCTACACTCAAACAAATATAAATATGAAAGAATGTTATTATGTAAAAAAAAGACACACACACACGCACACACAACACACACACACACGCACACAAAACGGATTACGTCCTAGTGTCTTTAGTTTAAAAAAAAAAGTTACAATAGACTGTGTCCCACTAGGGTCGCCGTTACAAGGAGTACCCGTAATTTGTTATATGCCCGTGAGACACGCATAACAAGCAGACAAACAAAAACAGACACACTCTCAGAGTAGATTTGTAAATTGCAACCAATATCGCTTAGTGATTGCCAAGCGTACAAGACAGTCCTCGTTTCGACTTTAACTCTTTGAGTCCTAAGGAACGCATCATACGTTCATAGATTCCCACAGGTTGTTGGCGTATCCTTTACAGGACGTTGCAGAACCAACCCTAACAGCCCCTGGCTCCTGAGTGGTTTTTCTAGGCAATTTACGTCCAGTAGTTTGCCGCTGGACGGTCGGCTTTCTTGATACCACTGTCGAAACCAACGCAAGGCGCATTGCCCGCAGCTGGGATCGAACCCGGCATCCCGGCAATACGAAGCGAAGCGTTCGCATCGACTTAGCCACAGAGCTGACTAGGTTCCTACATAGAAGCCTAATAAACGCATGCTGCGCCGATTTTATTACTTTATTTATTACCCCCTGTGCCTGTAATGTTTAACCTCCTGGGACTCAAAGAGGTAATAAAAGAAGTGGCTGGTTTGCAAAGTCCTGTGAAGAAGCCAGGCTAGACATTGTCACACCTGAACTAAAATAAAACACAGGGAACGTTAATAAACAAACACATTTAAAGCATTATCTAATGTGTTATACAACAATCGCCAGTAAAAATAAACGTTACAATTTCTTACTTACCTTAGATTGATTCATTCTACAGGATACTTCAATTGTTGTGTAGATTAGCGAACACGGGAAACTTTATGTTCACGGTGTGTAGTTGTAAAAGTATGTAGTTTTATTTAACCCAGATCATGCTCAGATTGATGTGGTCAACTCTATAGTCAGCTTGTTTTCACACAGTGTGTTTTTACTGTATTGTTGACTTGATATCGGTGTGATGAGAGTTACTCGCCTTTGGCTACAAAACTTCCCGTGTGGATGCCAGGACCTCATAGTAAGAAAAACAAGAATAGATCAACTGCCTGCCCAAAAGCTTGTCGTCATTGGGAGCTTCCTTTGAAATCGTGATACATCTGTCTGAGAGGCAAGGAACCAATAGCGTGTACACAAATGAGTCAGATCTGTAAAACGGATGAGGACGCAACACTCAGGTTCTGGAATAAGACTACAGTCCAGAAGTAGACGCATATCCAGAACTTTTCGTCCGAGTTTATAAATGGTGAATGCGTAGAAGGAGGAGGAGCAGTTGGAGTAGTAGAAGAAGAAGAAAAGGAAAAAGAAGAAGAGGAAGAAGAAGAGAAAGAAGAAGAAGAATCGACAATATGAAATTAGCAAACCAACATCCCTGTTACTGAGATACCGGCAATATTCTTTTTTATTCCACACCTACCGCGGAGCTCCGAGATTTCGTAGGGAATTCCTAGGGATTTTTCTGGAAAGTCCTATATTATAGAGAAAAGCGGGAGGGGAGGGAAAGGGGGGGGGGGGGGGGGGAAGTTAGGGTCAGTGTTAGTACTAGTCGGTGTCTATTTAACGTTAACCCTAAAACACTAAACTCCTATAATCTAGGGGTGTCATGTGTTGGTTGTTTTCAGTGTTTTTAATCATTTATTGCGTCATCATTTCCAGCGTCTGTTAACTTGTGTTCGTTCGTCGCTTTCATGGTGCCCTTGAATTTCATTGACTTGTCAGCAATGCTACATCTTACTCCAACGCCCCCCCCCCCTTTTTTTTTTAGCCAGAATGAATATATGTAGACTGTTGGTCCTTTTCAAGTCGCTCAACCCGCCGCCACCCAAGATGGCCCTTTTCAGAACCCACCCCAAATTATCCCAAATTCGCGTCCCAGTCCCCATGTTCTGGCCAAGAGACACCGGTTGAAGCCGAACTTTACGGGTCGCTGAATGAATCAGACAAGGCAGTGATATTCCGACTAGAGACAATATTGCAGATAAAGATAATCTATTTCCGGCGAACGGAAGAAAAAGGAAGAAGAGGAGAAGATGAAGAAGAAGAAGAAGAAAAAAAAAGAAGAAAAAGAAGAAGAATCAGAAGAAGAAAAAGAAGAAGAAGAAGAAGAAGAAGAAGAAGAAGAAAAAGAAGAAGAAGAAGAAGATGGAAAGGAAATTAACCCTAACATTCCCCCCCCCCCCCCCCCATATCCTTTAATAACAGGGGACTGTCCGAGGAACTTCCTAGGAATTCTCGACGAAATCCTAAAGACCTCGAGATGGGGTGAAATAAAAGAATAGTACCGATAAACCTTTACTCCTTCTTATAGTGCATGCCGTGTGGCGTCGGTAGTCATGTTTATCCACAACCTTCTGTCTTTTCCAATCAGTTCTGACACAGATGATCTTCCATGCTAGAATATCAGACTGTCAGTGATCTTCTTTATTAGTCTCCATCTGCCTCTCTCTCTCTCTCTCTCTCTCTCTCTCTCTCTCTCTCTCTCTCTCTCTCTCTCTCTTTCTCTCTCTCTCTTTCTCCCTCTCTCTCTACCGCCCTCCCCACCCTTTTCCAACTTTCCCACCATCACGATATACTCGCAATCATCTTCTCATGACATAAGCAAAGAATGAAAACTGTCTCGTTCTGATGTGAGTCTGGATAAAAAACAAAAAAGTCGCCCACGTTCAACCTGCTGCTTTGGTTACAACTGAGATCTGGTTTATTTGTCGCAGCTGAGATTTAGTACTTGCGCGATGTTTAATGGGTTTAATAGTATTTATGCCATTATAAGAGGCTAAGTGTCTGTACTCTTGTGTCGCGAGTCCATCTTTGCATCTATGAGTCCTTAAGTTTGGTCCCTGGTGGGTTTCCAGTTTGCCAGTCCGACCTCCGTATTTAGACTGAAACCCCCGTGTGGGTTCCGGGGCGCCATTGTGAGGAAAACAAGAATAGACCAACTGTTTACGAGAGTGTTTTCTTCGAAGTCGGAGTGCAGCTGCTTGAGAGGTGTGGAACCAATAATATGCACAGGGATA